AAAATTCAAAATATTTCAAAAGCTCATTTCAGTATAATCCGATAGGTATACTTTAATTACACAAAAAATTTCAAGCTTGTATCTACAGCAGATTCTGAGAAAAGGTACATCGAAAATGGCCAATTTAACATTGTCGGTATAGGGGTTTCTGATACCCCTTAAATTATTAAAAATAATGATGGACTAAATAAGTAAATAAAATAAAGAGAATCTGATGTCATTCCATACACGTGGCCAAGAGGTCGATGCAAAAAACTGAAAAAAAAAATCGTCGTTGCCGCAAAATAAAAAAGAAATTTTGAAAAATCAGTACGTCATTCAAACAAGTTTGTGTCAGTCCCGGGAAAATCCAAGATGGCGCTGGTGAGGTCACTTCCTGTTTTCCCGCCCCTTTCGATACTACCACTTTCGCTGCTGAATAAGACTGCTTACTACTAATATCTGAGAACTTGTACAAGGATCTGGAATTGTTATTGAGGGGGGAAAAAAAATGAAAAAAAAAAAAAAAAAGAAAATTTGGGCGGCATTTGCGCTCATGCTTATGCTTCTGGAGATAGTAAAAAGCTGGCCTGTAATTTACCTCTGCATATATGATCTCCAGGGGTAACATGATGTGAATCTAAGTTTAACAGATGAACAATCAAATACAGTTGAATATTTAATACCTGATCGTCAGCCTCCAACAGATCAGAATAAATTAAAATTTTATTCTACATTTTTCGAAATGCAATAAATATTGATACAGGGAAAGTAAAAGCTAGTATGTTCAAATAAAATATGAGAAATAACTATACTCCGTGCGGCAATTTAAGTAAAAAGTGTGATTTCCCTTTTCTTTGATTTTCAATAGTTTATTTTTATGCAATTAAAGGTAATTAGAATCAGGAAAAAACTAAACGAGTTAGTTTTTGTCTACTAAGTTGAATTGTGGTTTTATTTTTGTATTTTTCTATGCAATTGCTTAAGGATTTCCCCCCCGTTACCCAAAGTTTTGACAATAATATGTATATATTTATTAAATACAGTATATAATTATTAAAACATATGTATATAATTATTAATATTATTAGTATATAATAATTAAAACGACACATAACGGCAGATATAGCCTCTCAGCAAGATTTTAAGGCAATGTACTCTGATAATGATGCATGAGAATTTTCTGGCAGTGAAGAAACAATTCTCATGAGGATGACACACGATATGAACAATTTAAATGGGCCTTTGTATCAATGCAGTATATTGTCCTTAATAAACAGTTTATCAATAATAATGTCATTTTGTTTAAAATTGCTTGTGAAAAATGATAAAATATGCCTGATTCTACAGTCTTTCTCATAACAAAGTACCTGTTTTTTCAAAATTTTCGAGAATTTGGAAAATTTGTTAATATATTATCGGAGTCGTTCGATTTTAATTCTGGTTTGATGAAAGATGACTTGATGATGATGATGATGAAAGATGATGATAAAAAAATGATTATGGAAGATGTCTTGTAGCAGATTTTTTTAATGCTAGATTATAAAAAAAGTAGTTTGAAATTATTCTTCGTAATCCATATGTTCAAAATATTATATAGGAAAATAAGTGCATGTTAGCAATTGTTATTCTGAGATAGCATCAGGTGAAATAATTAAAAATTCCCCTCCCCCCCGCAAAAAAAGAACAGTTTTTGTGATATCAGTTTAATTCTCAATATAGACGAGTTTCATCTTTTTAAGTCCTCAGATTCGTTTACTTGACTCATTCAACTTATTAGTTGTATACAGTTGGAAAGAGATATCTCGGATGGAATATGGCTGCGTTTTCAATTTACAACGGATGAATATTTTGAACGAACAATCGTTCGCCAAAACAGAACGGTATTAAAAACGTTTAGAGTTCACCCACCGAAAGCTCTTGTTGGAAGTTCGATTCCCCTTTTAAAGGGAAAAATACCCCTTTCTTTCCCTCCCAGTTTAATTTTTATCATATTCCAACTTCTAGAACCTTTTTTAGTCCAAAATTTTATTGTTAGATTCTATTCAGAAAGGAGGATCTATAGAATCTCAAGACTACAGTTGAAAGGAATTAGTTGAGAAAGTGAGCAGTTCGATTGAATCGATTCTCCCGATTCCGCTACTCGTTCGATTCTTTCTTCTCTTCGCTCGATCGTCTCCCATCACTTTTGATTTACTCCCCATTTCCGATCTTATTCATAAAGTTTATTGCTAGTGGTGAGTCGTAAAAAAGGACCAATTCATTTCAGTGAGCGAAAGATTCTAATCTACTCCTATAAAAGAAAGATTTTGCCCACTTGCAACTTGGTGTGCGGTTAAAGATCACCGTGTAATAAAGGGCTCAGGCCGAATGATATCATTATGTTCAAGATGAAACTAAACATTAATTCCACAGCGTATCCTAGCAAGTGTTTACAGCCGAGGTAACTTTTCAGTAGCAAAGACTATTTTAGGAGTTAAAGGCCCTAGTATTTTAGTTTCATAATTACTTTTCACGCTATATTAAGTTTTGTGCATTATATTTGTTTAGGTGTGCGATCTTTTAGAGTGTTGTGGCTAAATTCTCCACAGAATAATTCAATTTATATAAATAAAGATCAGAAATACTGTATGAATGAGAAATTCGTATCAGTTAAATCTCTTCTAAAATTCCTTTTAAATCCCACAGATTTGATACTATAGAATACTGTGTTGTGAGAAATGCTTTAAAGCGACGGGTTTTAAAGTTTATTGTTTGCATGTATAAATTTTGCATAAAATATGTATTAAACTATTATGCGCTAATTATTATTATTTTGAAATTTTCGGTCTTTTACCCTGTAGAGTCATTAGGTTATTTCGAAGCAGAAACGATGAAAAAAGAGCAAAGCCCTCGCCAGGAATCGAACCACGGACCTCTGGAATACGCGCCCACAACGTGAAGACCACTACACTACGAAGGCATGCTAAGAAGGCGGGAGAAATACCTTACATACTCCCCCCTTTTAAAGGGGGAACTAAGGTTTTAGGGGACCCAGTCGCCAAATCCTGGGTGTGGAGAATCATCATCCCCCACCGTTTTTAGTTCGGCGCCAATGTAGAGTCCTACAGATTCACTTTCGTGTGAAAACTGGAATAGCAGTAACTGCTCAGAAGAAGGATTAAATTACCCTTTATTAACTCTTTAAAATTTACAGTGCGTCAACTCAACGCTAACAAACTACGCCTCTTCTAGGGCGGTAGCTGAAATCGGATAACGAGACTAAAAATTTGGAGATAGAACAAGTGATAGAACTAAACTACAGGGCTCAGCTAAATTCCGTTTCTTAAATCCCCATCGAAAACTAGTGGCAGCAAGTAAATGCAATGAAGCCACGCGAACCAGCAATAACTCTGGAAGCCAAACGTTTAAACAACAGAGGTGACGGCAGTAGCCTAACTCTTTCTCTTTCCTACTGAAACTCGTTTTTTAAACTCTTTCTTCAACGTAGAATTTGCATTTCTTCACGCGCGCTACCAAATTTAAATATTCTGGCACTGAGAATTAGGGGAATGAAAGCTTACAGGAAAGAATAGCAAATTAAATAAAATTGGTTATTTGAAACAAATATAAATCCCTACAAACTTATTTACATATTTATCATTAAATCTGCTCATTTTATGGTCTATAAATTTATTTATCGTTTTAATAAACTTTATCAAAGTTTATCAAAAGAATACAGTTACCATTGCTAAATTGAATGCATACCTTTTGCGGAGAATACCATGTATAATTTATGCAAGAGAAGTTTTGATAATATAATAAGAAATAACAGAACAGAATTATTAATTCTAGATATGAAATTTTTAATGCAATGCTTTTAAACGCTCTGTGAAGCTATCTTTTATATATAATGATAATAGTGGTTTGGAAAGTGATTCAATGAAAGTTTTTTTATTAAAACAAAATAGTTCTTTAAAAATACTCTTTATGTACTGTAATAATTTTGATGCATTACATAGATGATAGGATGCAAGTGAAAAATCATAATATGCATATATAGTAATGATATTTTCACAAATGGTCTGTAGTTATTGCAGACGCATTCATTGGTCTGTAGGTCGATACAGTTTAGTCCGAAAGAAAACTTTTATTGACTTTATAATGCTTTTAATATTCAGCAGCTTCTATAAGACCTTTTGTCGAAATTTGAAACAAAGAAAGTTGTTTAGAATTATGGCTTAGTTTTCTATAAACTGGACCTGATATTTTTAGTAGAATTCTATTGATTGATTCTGTACACATTCTATGCGATCCTATATCAGGATCGGATTGGAAGTCAGTCTATAATATTTTTATAGAATCTCTAAACAAATTTCTATACAATATGTACACATATCTCTATAGAATCTCTATATATAATTCTATATAAGCTAAATCTAAAATTATATAGAATTATATAGAAGCTCTCTGACCTAGTTTATAGAAAATTGGACCATAATTCTAAAGAAGTTCATCATCGGATTTTTTGGTAAGATACTTTTGTAAGGTTTTGTTTGTTGAAAGAATTATAATTTTTTGTAGCAAACCGCTGAAGAATACATCATAGTTGATAAGTTTATAACTTACCGCTGAAGAATACATCATTGTTTATAACAGCAATGTGATTATAAACTTCTATGCGTTATATGTTTCTCCAATCAAATCTTTATCGTTATACCAATCGTTTTCGTTTTATTACAATATGAGATTTCACAAAAATGGAAATTTTTTTTACTCACACTCAAAAGCTTAAATTTTTACAGCTTTCCAATTTTGTACTAATTATTTTTTCCGAAGTGAATTGTAACGCATTTCATAAGAAATACAACGAGAAAAATTTATTATGCTGAATTCAAGATATGTAGCAAAGAATTCGTTGTTTGCATTTCTTTAACGATTTCGAAATTTTCACGAGTTTTAACTCGTATGAAATTGGAATCCATTATTAATTACAACAAAGCAGGCAAAAGCTCAGGAATATATATATTAGAATATAGTTGTTGATAAAATTTCAGTTTATTTAAATTCAATAAGCACAGTACTAAAATGATAAGAATTGACAAAATAGACTGTAGCCACCGGTAACATTTCCCTGTTACAGTTCCATAATTCCAAAGCAGTTCTATTTCCATTCTTAAACAAGCAATATATATCAGATTTTAAATGCATTTCCTACTATCATTTAGTCTTTTTTCACGGTAGCACACTATATGGATTGATTGCACTTTATTTCCGATATATATTTAACATGTACAAATTTAAATGATATCTCTTCAGCATCCAATAACAAGTTCTGTAAAGCGTTTATTTGTTAAGAAATTATCTTCGAGATTAAGTTTTCAAATAACTTCTAACTGCTCAAGGCTTCCAGCAGACTTATCTTCATCAATTTCAGAGCAATCACAAGGCAATTCGGAACCTTTAATCCGAATTCTTTCATCATTCGCAGGAATTTTAAGACGCAGAACAATGTCATTCAAATCTGGCTTAGGATTATGTTTAGATGGCAAGGTCTGTTCTCTGGTTCCACCAGACGAAAGTAGCTCTCTTTCTTTAGAATTTCTCCATTTCATTCGACGGTTTTGAAACCATATTTTGACCTGCATATTGAGAAGGAAAACATATTAGAATGTAATCAATCCTGAAAATGGAATTATTTCAAACAGAAAGCAGAATTTCTTCAAACACAAAGAATAAATGGGACACTTCTTTTTAAACTGACAAAATTGTGCTGTTTCGTTAGATGGAATATTACCAGTTGATTACGATATAAGGGATGAAAACATAATAGAAGAAGAGGAGAAATAGTCTATTTATATCAATTATAATAAGCATTTAAGATCTGTAGCGAGTTCAACATTTTGCTTCGTTAAGTTATAAACTGATACTGTATTTTGTGGGGCAACGCTAAAAATAATTAATTGACACCTTCGCTAAATGTGTACAAATTATATTTTCAAATGAACTTTAAACGTTAAATGTTAACTTTAATGTCTTGCAACAGCTACTTAGTCAATATGTATGAAATATAACCTCATCCTCATCTCACGAAACTAAGATATCTGTCTTCATTTTTTGCATTATATTACCTTAGATGTAATTGTTTCCTCATTATTTTCGTCTCTTCTCTAATATTTGCTAGATTAAGATGAGATTTTTACTCAAAACTTGTTATATATATAGAAAGAGATGATGCTAAGGTGAAATTCGCTCTGATATTTTCGTTTGCAGTTGGCCTCCAGATGTGTTGAATGAACGACTGATAGTTCGAAAGACGGAAGCAATATGTTATTATAAAGAAGTGAACCGAGTTCGTTGTATTACGTGAGATTGTGAAAATGTGTATATGTAAAAATAATTAAAAATGTTTTTCGGTGTAAGGAAACTCTGAAGATGTAATTTTTGCCGCCCACAAGAGACACAACACTTTTTTTGGGGGGGGAAGTGGGATACAGACTGGCATGGTGAATAAATTATTTGGATTACAAAACAAATGACTACTCTAGAACGTACATAGATTCTTTTTTCTCACATCTGAAGATGATATTAAATGAAATGTAAAAATCTACGTTGCATTAAAGAATTTTAAAGCAGATAAGATCAAAACTTTACATAGATATATTTTCGATTATGACGGCGATAAATTAAATCAAAAGAGAATAAGGAATTTTTCTGGTTTTGACTGATTTTGGCTTCAGATAGCGACGAATTTCAAAAGAAATTCAAAGATATAGAAGAAAGCTTTTCATTTAATGAGCTAGCCACAATTTCTAATATCCTAAACATTGGATTCAAAGGCAATAAATCAGAGCTAACAAAAAGAATTTTATCTTTGTTCTGTGATGTTGAAACACTAGCTCGAAATCTGAATGATGTCGACACGTTTGGCTTTGATGAATCGGAAACAGAAGTAGAAATAAACAAACGAAGTGAAAACGATTTTTCAGTGCATCGTGAATATTTTAGAAGAAAAATAACCTTGATTCTTATATACAGTATAATTATGCTTGTACAATCGAAATTCTATAATTCAAGCGTTAAAATTAATTATTCTGATATAGAAAGCACGATTACGAATGCAGAATCACATGGAAATGTTATTCGTTGGATCGAACATTTTGAGAATATCTCTAAATTATTTAATGTGTCGGATTAAAAAAAAATTACCTTCGCTAAACGATTGCTTTGCGGTAACGCGGCATTATCTGTTCGAACAGAAGTTGAATTTAATTCATGGCCAAAACTGAGAAAAACCATTGATTGACGAATTCTCTTTTGAACTAAATTCTACTAATTTTCATAAACTGCTAAGTCAAAGTAAAATGAAGGATACTGAATCGGTTTAAGAATATTTCTAAAAAATGAAAGAATTATGCAATTTAGGAAAAAGGATGACTCTGGCTTAATGAATTATGCTACAAAAGGAATAAATGAAATAAAGTAAAGGGAATAAATAAATTGCAAGAAAACAAAATTGTTTGGTACGGATGCAAAACTTACTTGAATTTAAAGAAAAACTGAAAGGAAGTACTCTAACTACAAGCCTAAAGCTCCTGTAGAAGGATTAAAAAATTCCTTGTGTAATTTATTAGGAATTCCTTTTCAACGTGTAGTTTAATGTTTTTCATTTGAAAATACTATGTGAAAACGGGGCTTATAAACTCGTGTTGCTCGTTGGGCTTTATTAATACAGAAATTATGTGATTGATCAACGCTCTGGTACTAGGATGGTAAAGGTCGACGCCGTAAATAGATCTCCAATTAACATTTTTTAATACTAAATATAAATCTTACCAAAGTTGAAATCAGCTCAGGATAATGAAATAAAAATGATTAAAGTGGAATTTTGTTTAAATCTGTTGATTGTAAAGAATTAGTGGTTGTGTCTGAAAGCATGCAAACAGAAATCATAACAAGTGCCCATGAGAAAGCACATTCAGAACCAAAATATGCTGAGAAAAGCATCTAAGAGTATTATTTTATCCCTAAACTCAGACAGAAAGAAGAAAATATCATAGCAAATTGAATAGGCCTCCTACATCCACTGCACAAAGAAGATGTGCCCTTAAAAATACGCCATCTCGAACCTTTGGAGAGTACGTATAAAAAATATAAGCACATCCTAGTAAATATTGATGCATTTAGTAAATTTGTATTGATTATTTCTGCGAAGACCACAACATCTCCTGAAGTCATAGCAAAGTTGAAGATCCAAAAGAATGTATCTGACACTTCTTTCCAAGTAAATATCAGATAGAGGTACAGCATTTACCTCCAGCAAATTTGCCAATTACTGTTCTAAAGAGAACATTAAGCATCATTTGCATTGCGTTGTATTTAACGTTCTCAGTAGTTTGAAGTGTAATTACTGATTGTAATAAGAATTGTATGACTGTTTTTGTGGAAATTTTCAGAACTCTGAAGTATTTCTTTTGATACAATAAATTTCATAATCTAGCATCAGACCTGTGTGAATTCTTTCTATTACGAACCCGTACGCACATAATAATATATATATATATAAAATATAATATTATATAATCCTCAGAAAATTTTATTTTATAAAAATAAAATGAATAATGGAATATAAATAATATGTGTGTCAGTATAATTTATGTGTATGTCGGACGGGAGGGAATGAAAAATAAAAATGATCTTCACTAGCAAGCTCTTAACCATGCAAGACATATGAATATTTAAAATTGTTACTTTACACTGTAAAAAAGTTAATAATTCTAAAAAGCTAAAAAATATAAATAATTAATTAATTAAAATAAACATAAATATAATTTATAGACCGTCCCGTCAGAGCTAGATTATGTTTGTGATAGATGTAAAAATACACTGTTGGACAATTGCTAAGGGCGTATGACAGTAGCAGCGACAGCAAGCAAAACGTGGAAGACAGGAAAAATGAGGAAATCGGGCATAAGTGCGGGACACAGTAAGACGTGCTGTACGTATGAATATGTTATGCTGGATTGCCTAAGTTGTTCGTTATGTGATGCGCTGATAAAAGAGAGGAAGGAGCTGACGCGTATGGACCTTTGCTTTTCAAAAGCAAAATTTAACTGGAAAGAATCAATTGACGAACTTGCAATTTGCGATATGTTTTACCGACATCACTTACATGATTTTATGTGTGGCCATATTATCGGCAACACTGGAGAAGGGCGAAAATTAACAAATATTGTTAGGAAGTTCAACGACAGCCAAGTATTGTTTCACACATTTGGCTGACTTGCTCACAGTGCGGCGCTTGTAGGAGATAGGTACATCCTGCTTTGGCCAAAAAGAACCGACGCAGCACACCTATTGTGGTCGCACATCAGTTGCTTGCTGTTACCGGCAAGCAAATCTTCCGAAAACCTACAGCCAGAAATTTGACTCAAGGAAGACTACACGCCCGACGTCCTTTTGTGTGCATTCCATTGTCCAGAAAGCAACGTACCGTGTCCGTTTGCAATGGTATCGCGAGCATCGTAATTGGACTCAATAGAACTGGGCTTGTGTCGGTTCTTTATATGAAAGTAGATTCAGTCTGCTACCGGGTTTTAGACGCCAACTGATCTGAAGTGAGGATGGTACTGCTTATCGTCCAGAAAATATCCAGGAAAGGACCAGTATCCGAGACGGAGTATCATGGTATGGGTCGGCACTATGATCAAGGCGTCGCATACCCCTACATGTGGTGGCAATTGGGACTACGACTGGCTAACGATACATAATGATGTTCTGCTGCCTCATGTTCCAATGTTCAGAGGTGCTGTCGGTTATAAATTTGTTTTCATGGACGACAACGCAACATGTCATCGAACAGTCGCTGACAGGAGATAGCAAGGATATTCAACGTCTCGTATGTCCAGCACTTTCTCCATATCTGAATCCCATTGCTAAATGTTTGGGATGCTTTCGGGAGAAGATTTGCTGGTCGACAATGACCTCCAATAAACAAGGACACCCTCATCCACGCACTGGCAGAGGAATGGGAAAAATTACCCCAAGAGCTGTTGGAAAATATCTTGCAAAGCATGACGCAACGTGTGAAATTATGCATCGCCCTCCAAGTTGACCATATCCTGTATTGTTATCTTACGCTAGAATGCCTGAGGATGGTAATTACATTTTTTTCACTTTTAGATATTTAGCACAATATGACCATTTTGTTCATTGAATATTTTTTAAACTCTTCTAGGTTTTACAGCACAACAAATTGTCTTTAGTGTTATGTATTCTGTGATTATTTTAGTTTACTTGGCACCCAAACACACTTATTTTTGAACGTGCTATACAGCCGTTGGTGCTCCATCCTTAGCAATTGTCCACCAGTGTACTATAAGTGAATAGCGCTTCAATCGAATGTACCAATACATTCAAAATCGTAAAAAACAACCTCGTATTTAGCGTAGGTATAATGAAACACTCAATCGATTTCGAGGGCAGCTAAAGGTCCCTCCTCATCAGGAGAAAGAAATACATAGAAAGAAGAAAATAGGAGGAGGAGTCACAGAAACACGTGGTCCTTATCAGCACTGCACGTGATTATAACTAGATTTTTAATCAGAGTTGCACTGGCCGCCTACTTTTACTGAGCCAGGCT